GGTATGTACAGTGCGGGATGAGGAATTTAGAAATTTTCGCTAGCGCTCAAGGTCGAATAGAGAAACTTTTTTATCGGTGATAAACATCGTTTTCATAGTTTATCGCGGTGAGTTAAAATGCAAACGTGTACTAGACGCACTCGTGTACCAGAGTGGTACGAAGATTTCACAAGTTTCTGTTGGCAACGAAATTAAGATCGAAGAGATAAGCAGATAAAAATAAATTTTAATTGCTGATCTCTTTAGCATGTTATATGTAAACGCGTGACCTACAATATTTAACAAAATAGGAGATCCGATTATGATATAGTAGCTTTGGAAAGCGGCAAGGTTTCCGCTCTATATACTGTGCGTTTCATGATTATTTTTAAGTTTTTCATTCTTTAATGTTAAAGGTCCATATCTTGCATATCTTCCGAAATAGAACCGTCGCTCGTTTATTTTTCGCGAGGATGCGAAAGAGGAGGCTACGATTTCGTTAAGGTCACGGTAAGAAAGAGACCAAACATTCAGATGAAAAAGAGAAAGGAAAAATATATCATCGGTTCGGAAAAAAGAACGATTCGAAAGCTCGAGATAAACCAGAACAATGCAAAGCTTTTAACCACTGAGAGCTTGCTAACCACAATTTGCAATTATAAATAACCATTTTATCCCATTTAGCCCATAACGATATTCGATATTCCGCTTTCAATAACGCCCAACGTTCAATTAACAAAGGATCGCAAAAATAGGTATATTCGCGCTAAACGAAACATTTAGTAACTACCGTGGTACAACAAACGCACCTTCCAGTTCCTAACCTCTCCAACACGCTGTATCCGTCCGCGCGGGTACGATAAATTTCCTTTACCGTTGCGAGCAATTCTAAGCCCGAGCGTAATAAACATTCCCACCGTTTACAAGGTGGTTCGTGTGCAACACGGAGCAAATGGCAGGAGGTGGTCGCGTTGTCCAGCGAAACAATTCGAGCACCGTGACTGCAATAACAGCGTGCACGTGCTGTGTACGCGCGAACATCCGCGAGCAACAACGAATCGATTGTCCGCCATATATGGAAAATAAATTTTTACGCCCACTGGACGTAGGATCAGGCTCAAGGTAGTCGCGTACTCTCACTTTTGCACCGCTTCTTCGTCTATGGGAGTGGCGCTGCCTTCGCTCGTATATAAGGGTAAACGGGTCTCGCTTCCGGCGTCCCTTCCGGAACACCGAAAACGGCATTCGGCCAGACCGTGCAAAATCGATCGATCCGTAGACCGTTTTCCACTGCAACGGGTTTCTGGGATCGCCAAAGAGGGTCGGTGATTATTTTTAGCCGAGAAGTAATAATTAAGTGGACACCGTCGATCGACGGGCGTTCGATCGGTAAAAAAGGTTCCCACTAGATTGACGGAGATTCGATGGAAAGTGGTCACGTACGGATTGCAATTTGCGATCCTGACCCGCCGATTGTTTCAGCCGCGAGCGAAATTGCTTTCTTATCGTCCGTTACTGTACACACCGAGAACCAGTGTTCCCGGTCGACGAAAAGAGGTTTGAATAATTTATGGCTCGATCTGAATGCACCCGGCCCCGATCTCGAATGGTAATGGCCGCACTTACGGCGAAATTGAATCGTTAATAAATCAAATACGATATCGCTGGAAAAATCCCGCGTGAAACATTTAATAGACAAATGAATGAAATCGAATTAGGGATATACCAAACAACCTGTTCCGTTCTGTTCCTTTTGCACACGTGCAAGAGATAGATATGTATCGTGAAATATTGAAAGCATAACCTTGAATACAATATTCACGATGCACATTTGCAATCTTTATTTAGCAATATTCCTTTTTTACGTGGCACTCGCTGCATATTTTTAAACGTACACGCCGGTCAGATATCGGGGGCGTGCAAGTTAAATGACTAACTATTACAATAATCTTGATTTATACAACGATTCACTTGCAACATTTAAAGCTGAAACTCTAACACCTAGCTGCCACGTGAAATATAGCTCGATGTATATCGGCCGTAAATAATGCACGATGCGATGTATAGAAAACGCATTATTCATAGCAAATAAATAAAATAATCACTCATGTTCCAACACCAAAATAGTAATCTCGAATGTAAAGTCGTCGAAACACCACGTTGGAAAATAAAAATAAAAATAAAAATAAACACTGTAAGACGATCCGTTTCTAAACGCCACCCTATATACGCGCAAAACGGCCACCCTGTACATGGGTGAACCGTTTAAGGCGAGCGGACGTCCATAAACCGAGTGCAAAAGGTACACTTTGTAAAATAATATTCTTGCAACCATGTCGTAAAAATAACTGACCTGTTAATCCTCGCGATATTAAATATCCGCCATGTTGGAACCTGTCGTAGAAAAAGATCGGTGAGCACGCCGTGGGAAGGAAGGGATCGCGTTCCGATCGCCACGAATATTTCTTCGTCTGTCAGACGCGCGTCACGCCAGTTCCGGTTTCTTTTCGAGTCACCACGCTACGAAACACATTTACGTCAGGACTACGTTCGCATACGCGTCAGAGTGTAGACGGTACACGGCTAGGGAGAATCTCATTCGCTATACCGTCGAATTCGACAACGAAATGCATGCAAAAATACATTTTCTTTGAAGTGCACGGAAGTATGAAAGGAACGAACAAAGACGCGCATACGAGACAGTCCACCTCTCCGCCTGCGGGATTCGTACACGCCGGTTAAAATTAAACGCGAAACGTTACGAATTTATACGAGCAGCAACAATCGAAGATGACGCTCCGTCGTCCCTCTCCACCGATCTTGAAAATATTCGGCAGGAATTACGGACGCACATGCACCACCGGCCTTTCGTAACACCGCGATACGATTCCATAATCCTTAACGTGCACCTTACATAAGCGACGCACGTGAACAAAGTATACGTGTAACAAGTGAATTTATTTTTCCCTGCAGCACGGCGATTCGCTCATCGATTCGAGATTTAACAAACTTGTTTACTCGTCCGCTGAATAAATGACGTAAAAGAGAATTGTCCGATGGTCGAGAGCCTAGCTAGACGCGATACGTGACAGTAATTTTACGTAATTCACGATTAATAATATTGCGGAATAAGAGAGGGCGGTAATTCGACACGTGGCTCTCATAGACGTTATCGACCAATGGTATGGTATAGCCAGGCTAGGGAGAAATTGTTCTTTGGAACGGACGATAGTCGTACATGCACACACGTGTGCCAGAAAATTTCTTCGTATTGTCCGATCAGGCTCTCGCAGAGGCAGACAAAAGTACCGGTTCTAAGAAAAGCGAGTATGGAGTGTTGAGTTAGGTCTCCACTCTCGAGGCCAGTCTAGGTTACAAAGTTAGTCGACTATTATTTTTGGTCGAGTTGTCAGGACGCGTATTTCTACCACCCTGCTAGGCACAACAGAGGCCAGACAATCGTCTCGTCTCGATTAAAATACGCACGGTATGCGGAAAAAGATTCGACAACGGCTGTCGAGTGCTCTGTAATTAATTCGGTGTATCGTTTAATATCGCGATGTGCGTCGTTATCGATAGTCGGATTTAAGAAGAATTAAAACCGCCGTGTATATTTTACATTGAAAACTCGCTTCAATTTCTAAGGAGATAAATTATTCATGGATCTCTTTTGTTCTTCGATGAGATGATGAGCAAATTATAAATTCGAAATCGATACGGAGACAAACGTCGCGTTTAACCTATATTTTTAACTCGCAAGACGGAAACAATTTAGTTAACCTACAACCCGGCCTTATCGAAGTTACGCTATAATTAGCCGGTAATTAACAAAATCAGATTCCAGTCCAAAGATTCAAGTCCACTGTTACATTTCCTTCCCTAATTACGCTATTTTCTTTTCCCTTTTTCTAAATCCGATGGCTGCGAAAATAATAATATAAACATAACCTAACACGCTGTATATCAATTACCGCGCGAAAAAGGTCTCGAAGAAATCATATCAGTCATTACATCATATCTGCAATGTACGTTAATAGCGAAACAAGATGAAGCCAAGCGTGCTCCCTATAAAGCCTATCTTCGTTGCTCTCCTCTTTGAAATACTCAAGGGTATCTTATGGAACTTGCTATTACCGTGTACCTAATTAATTTTATCGCGTTCATCAGTGGTTACCTGTATCTATCGAGCGGCCGATATTCCGGAACTCACGCCACCTTTGTTGCACGGGAAACGCACGAACCAACGAGCACACGGATGCTGTGCAGCCACCTATCAAACGTTTCGCAGAGCCGGGCGTGAAAAACCTACAATACGTCGATTCGTCCAAATATCCCGCTACGACTGATTGGACTTGACATTTTCCCGATAACAACCTTACGTTTGCCCCAGTATCAGCATCCACCTGCGCACGACGCGTATCTCTCGGTCGCCCGTTGACCTGGTTCCGTTGCACACGGACTACGAGTCGTAGAACCGCCTATCAACAGAAGATAAAACTTTCACGGTACCCCTCTGACACCATGGTGGGGCGACACGCGCCCTCCACTTGGAAACTATGTTATCGACGCACCAACGTTGCATAACATTGGAGGAAGTGTAAACTCGTGTACCACGGATCGCTGCATTCCTCGGCGAATGGACGACGCGAGTTTATCTCGCGACAGACGTCTATCGGTGATTCGAGCTTGGGGAGAAAAAAAGTAGAGGGACCAGCGGTCGATGTTCCGAGTACATTACCGAATAGAACGACCGCGGTGTTCTATTCGTTTTTACTCCATGCCATTCTCGCGTATAACGAGCCAATTGTTTCGGCTATTACGATCCCGAGCCGGAGGCGGTTCGACAGGGGATTTATGAAGTTGATAACCACTGTTACAACATACTGACACGCACCGAAAACAGATAATCACGAACGTGAGTAAATTGGATTTGGAAACGTGGCAACGGAGATGTTTAATCCGGTCATGCTAGCGGAATCACACGCAGGATTATCCAAAGTAATTCAATTAGGATTCGTAGTCAATTTCACCGCAAGGACGCGCTATTTACGCCCTCTGTATAGGAATCTGTGAAATAATACTGCAGCCATGCCATAATCTGCTATATATATATACACAACTTTTGATATCCGAATTTATAGCGTGAGGTTACATCGTATAGGTACGTCACTGTTTTCTATGAACCGTGGTTTACTTGTTCAAGATAACCCGTCTGATTATTTAATTCAGTGAAAGTTGAAAATAAAATTATATATATATACATACAAAAAAAAAGGTAGATTAAATTTGTATTTTAAATAATTTCTTTTATTCAGGTAGAGTCGTCTTGTTTTCAATCACGTCGCAATTTTATCGAATCACCTTGTATAGGTTATATCGGTTAAAAACACCGGCACGTTTCACCGTAACGTTCCAATTTAAACAAGACAAGATCGGATTTTGCGAAGGCACGGTAATCTGATTTCCAAGTTTCTCGGTTAGTCAGAAATGAAGCAAATGGAGTACGGTGGTTGGTTGGAAAGTCAGGTAAAAAATTTCATTAGCCTGTAATTTCTTGGAGGGGAAACAAGTTTCGCCGATGAGACTCGTTAACATTACCAGAAGAGATGAACGATGATGCACGTACGACGGACAACGGGGGACCCACGCCGGGCTAAGGTCATCGTCATTCGCGAGAATTTCCCATGAATTTCATCTCTATCGATGTCTCTGGGACGAGTGAAATGCCAGCGGCTCGCACGACGTGCCGTTAATAAATAAGCAAACCGAGCAACGCGCTGCTTACTTCGGCTTAATGCGGTACGAGTGAATTAATCTCTCGTTCGGTTTCTCGCAAGAACGTAGACTGTAATGTATGTTGTGAAAGCTACGAATAACGCGACTTTTCCCCGATGCTCCTCTTTATCATCTGTTGCCAATCGCGCATCGTATCGTAGATAACGCGTTGTATCGTACGAATCGGAATTATTATCGGTAAAAGCGTAACCGAACGATAAACCGACACCGTATTTTGCATTTTATCTAAATAAAAGAACAATTACTGGCAAGAACGTTTTCATTACCATGGCTAGTGAACTGCCGCGATCCTTGAACTGTTTTACCATCGTTCTACTATCGGTCACGTGATCGCGCTTTCCAACGTCGGAGCGACGGGAAGGAAAGAGAGAAAAGGGAAAGAAAAGACAAAAATGCGAATTACACAAGCACGTTATTTCGTGAAAACGGCGTTTCACAATCGCGGGAAAAGTAGAAGGAGAACGGCGATCCGTGTGTACGTGAGCCTCCGTGAAATTCGCGATTTAAGAGGCGATAACCTATGGTAATGTGTAATGTAAACGCACCACCACGGGTGCGTAACAGGTAGCGCTAGCGTCCCGTTACCAAGATTCCTCGAGTCTTTGACACGCGGAAGATGCCGGGTGTGCCGCACGCGGAAACATCCAACAACACTCGCTGTATAAAACGGTTACCGATATCTCCCTATATTGTCTGCCCGTTCATCCTCGAGGCGAGAACAATTATAAACGATTAGAACGGTTCTCCTCTCGCTGCTGTAACGCTTGAGAGCGAGACAATTTCACGGATGCGATACGACCAAGTGGCATACGTGCGTTCCACGTTGTCCGGAGAAAGAGAGAAAGACGAACAGAGAGCGGAAGAGAAAGAAGGACGATCGAAGTAGAGTCTCTGTAATCTGTATCCGTGAGACGATGGTATACCGTGCCACGCCATTTTTAGTCGTCTCGCACTCTTTTCCTCCTCCCTTTCCTTTCGTCTCTTTGACCCCTTTCTCTGACCACGGTAAACGAACGTGACGTAATAAGACATTAACATTTCAGAGAGCTCCCGGTTCGTTAACCTGCCGATAATATCGGGGGCCCCCTGTTTCTCTCTTCTTCCTCGTGGCGTCGCTTTTCGAAGATGTTCTAGTTCGGCCCACCGACGAATTTCGTATACCGGTATACCGTGTAGGTTATGCGCGTTATTGGGCGAGTTTAGAGAAGAGGTTGGACACGAGTTTCTGCTGCGTTGCTGTATAGTAACTTCGTACTAGTTTCTACAGCGCCACGAAGCAAATACTTTCACAAATATTCTAAGCAGGTGTTCCAGACATGCGAGTCTTTCCTTCTTTTTTTTTTTTAGATATACTATTACATTGGAAATAACGAAACTACGATCTCTGTCATTCGATGTATGCGTATGCGTATAGATTGTACCGTATAACACGTTTCATGACTGTCAGGTAGAGTAAACCACGTGACATGCATTTTGCAGAAAACGTTCGAAACTTGGACGTTTATTCGTGTAACATTCGCGTTTCAAGGTCGCATTAGGTTATGTACCCGCGAGAAATAAATATGGCGGAATGTCAGACTTACAGGAAATGCGGAAGAATAATTCTTAAAACATAACGGATGTGTAAACGTAGCCACGCTGTCACGTCGGTAGGCCCGCTGTCATTTGCGTTTATCGTGTGCAAGCAGTACGCTATATCATGCAGGATAGGTCGTGAATGTTTATAAACGAATCACGTATCGGCCGACACTCGAGTCCTGCACGTCGCGCAGGATCTTAATTATGGCATACTTAATCGAACCAACGTCAAAGAAAAATATTTTCCCATTTGGCACTGAATATGCTATACACGAATACCACGGGTGCATCGAATAAGGTCGAAACCTGGGAAATGGGAGCGAACGATGTACACACGGAAGAAGAGGCGTCAGGAGCCATTTTTACAGAAGAGTCCACTAAATGTACCGTTGAATAAAATTACACGTACCGCTTTGCTCGCTAGACAGACGAATCCAGCCAGCACTCGACTTCCCTTCTCGTCCGATGGACTGTCATTTGTGATGAACGTACATACGCGTGTCAAACATTGCGACGATTGATACACACGGTACCTGGGGCCGTTGCTTGGCCGATTTTCCGTACGTTTGCTCCGACGAATTAACGTCCCCTTTCGTTGTCACAAGGAGACGCCAACCGCACAGTTCCGCACAATTTCGATGATTACGAAAACGACGACGTTGAACTACGATGACGACGACGACGAAGGCGACGACGACGACGACGACGACGGAGACGACGATGTTAAGCCGTCGCTGATTGCCACTCGCGCACGCACTCACGGCAATAGGATGTATGTTTACACGGCACCGCACTGTCTCTTTCTCGCACTCTCGTTTGTCCACACAATACTCTTCCCTCCTCGAGACACGGATCGTACACCCTTCGTGGCTGGATTACCTCTTCCTTTTCGAGCTGTCTCCTTTCTGTTTCTCTCTTTTTGGCACCCCACCCACCCGCACACCCTCTGCCCCTTCGATCCAACTGTACGAAGAGGAAAAGCAAGATTTCCCTGCTCCTTCCTCGATATAGTGGCCCGACACACTTCTAGTTTCTTCTCTCTTTTGCTATTTCGTTCCGTTCTCTGTCTCGCTCAGTCCTTCTTCGTTCCGTGTCTCCTGCTCTACCCCCGTGTTCTTTCTCTGTCTGTTCCCGTGCTCGTCTCTTACCGTCGCCTGCCTCGTCGCTCGTCGTCTTGTCCGTTCCTCGGACCC